GGGGATATAGCTCAGTGGTAGAGCGCTCCCTTAGCATGGGAGAGGGCTGGGGTTCAATTCCCCATATCTCCAGAAATTTTTGTTTTTTACCATTTTTAGTTGGAAACGATGGGGAAGTGAAATTGAACAGGTTTTCAATGAAACGGAATGTTTTGGCACTGGAGTGTTTGGCATGATACATTAGAGATGTGCCTGCGTCGTCTTGCTCACTGCTTCTACCGCCAGCTGTACTGGTTATGTTGTTGAAACCAGTAGTAAAATATTTTTTATAAATAAAATTTTTTATTGAATAGTATCGTTGTCATAGCATCCTAAGACTCAATGAAATATGATTATTCATCTAATATACAGCTTGCTCACATAGATCTCGATGATCGTTGAAGATGCCAGTTCATCATCACTGGGTTTCGTTCAGTTATGCATGTTGTCACTGAGATGTCGGTAATTAGAGTACCACATGTAACTCTGCGAATCCTACTGTAACTACACCTTCACTGATTAAAGTGCTGTTGAACTGATAGCTTTCCTCTTAGCTAAGACAAACTTCCGCTGGACAAAAGCCCAAATACGGCTGAAAATCAGATTGTTGGGTAGCAAGGGTGTGCTAGCGGCAGCAGCAGCAGCACACTTTCCAAACAACTATTTCTGATATTTCTTGCGCGTGACGAATGCCAATTTCACTTATCAATTAAGTCTTTTGATGGGAATATGAACATTCATAGGGAACGAACAGACGAGAAAAAGCTTTTGCTGTTGGCCATATAAACCTTTCGAATAACTGAAAGATTGCTGCTATAACGAACATATTAATCACAAACGGTACCTTTCCCACACACCCCCGATCTTTCAAATGGCATTTGCCGTCCACAATCACCTTCACAGACAATCACATCCATATAGAGCATTCTCACCAACCATATTCATAACATCTCACCTGAAACATAAAGCTTGTGTGTATTTGCTTTGAATGGGGATGTTCACTGAATAATGATTGCTTAGAAGATTGATAACCTTTCAAAGAACTATGAGAAGAACGTTAATCAATGGTTAATGATTCGATGTTGCTATATGGGAATGCGCAACGGCTTCCTAACTACGTGATCATTCTGAATTTGCATATGATGACGTCAACAATCATGTGATGAATGATATATTGTAAACATATTTGGATAATAGAAATCTCTTTTATTCTTTTTTGTTATGTTATATACCTCTCTCTCTCTCTCTCTCTCTCTCTCTCTCTCTCTCTCTGTATCCCTCTATCTATATGATATATAGTTATGTATAGCAAGTTCAGTGAGATCTTTCATTATCTTCTCGTTGTCGTCTTCATGCTCGTCGTTCTCGTCCTCCTCGTTGTCGTCGTTGTCGTTGTCTTCATTCTTCTCTCCCAACCAACCTCGGTAATTTTCATTTTCAAAAAGTTATTTTCAATAGCAAAATACTTTTTTTTCAGCCAAAAATAGAAATGTTTCTTCTTTCATGAAGCCTAAATTCAAATTGTAAGACTTCATTTGCATAAAGAAGCATATTTGAACGCCTTTTTTGGTTTTTAACGGGAGAAATATAATGAATGGCAGGGTAGAGCTGTATTACTACCTCTCTCTCTCTTTCTCTCTCTCTCTCTACCTCTCTCTCTCTGTATGTCTATTCATTTACCTTTCTCTTTGTCCCTCTCTTGTTCTCTCATTCTGGTCATTCACCTCTCTCTCTCTTCATCCATCCCTCCTTCCCTCCTTTCCTCCCTCCCTCTCTCTCTCTCTCTCTATTCATGAATCGTGATAGTTGCAAGGTTTTTTCACCTTATTTTGTACTTTATTTTCACCCTGCTTTGTAAAATCAACACTTATTTCAGGGCTCATTTCACATAATTTTTCATTTTGCTTATATGCTGCTCTATAAGGACATCTGATCAGCTTCTCCTCAGCTTCTTCCTATCTCTCTACTAGCTTTGTCTTCTTTATATCATTCAAGCCTCACCATATCAGAATATTTGAAAATTCTGTTTCTGCTGCTGTTGCTGTTGCTACTGCTACTGCTGGTCAACGGTCTCGTGAGAATCAAGAAGAAGAATACGAGGGAACAGTAGTGTGAGAGAGAGGGTGTTGCTCTGGATGCATATCAACGTATAAGGAGAGAATGAGAGTGAGAATAAGAAAAATAATATAGTTAGTAGATAAGGTAGAAGAGAGAGAAAAAAGAAAGAGAGAAACAAAACAAGGGATAGTTGATTGCAAGAATTGTGTGTCTCCTTGCCTCCCTCCCCCTCCTCTTCTCCCCCTCTCTTGCTTCAGGTAATCGGCTTCCAATTATCTTTCCATTCCGTACAAATATGAAAATTTCAATAATTTTTCGTCAATTTCTCACATTATCCATCAACTACAAAACGATTCTTGAATAGTTTCCCAACATTTCTATCGTTGCAAGCGAGGAGGACGGAATGAGAACAATGTGATTGTGAAGAAGAAAATGTTTTTTTTTTCCTAATTTGGACTATGTGAGCATCATCTTGACGTCTTCTTGCCCAGCCATTCTGAAATTGTATTTTCTCAGATTTCAAAACCACTCGCTTCAGTGCCGTTCTACCCTTCTCTCTCTCTTTCTCTCTCTTTCCCAGTTTTCCTCTCTATGCCTCAATTCTCTCTGTTGTCCTTTATCTTCATTTGCAATGCGATAATTCTTTTTCTCCTTTCTTACTTCAGGGGGTTCATATGATGTGATAGGTTCCCTCCATGCATGGATTCTCTATCTCTTCCATTCCCTCCATCATCTTCCAGTCTCTTTCTAGCTCTTTCTCTTGCTTCAGCCATCCTCAATCAGATTTTCATTCCTCAATCTGCTCAGCTTTCACCTTACTCTCTCCAACCACGATTGTAGCTTTCAAGGTCTTTAATGTCAGCCAGTCATTCAATCTCTAATTTGCTCTTTTGCTCAACAACAATTCTTTCTTCGTATTTTGTATTTTGTTTGTTTCCAATTTCAAATTCCAATTACTCCTTCGTTTCGAGAATGATTGAAAATTTTTCTTTTTTTTTTCAAAAATTATTTTAACGATCGTCTTCCCTTTCCTCTCATCACAGCTTCTCCATGACATATCAATGATCCTCTCTCAGTCTCTCTCTCTCTCCCTCTCTCTCTCTATCTTCTAAAGGAAGATGTTGTTCAACGCAATTTATGGTTACAAATAAATTTTTTCATTTCCTCTCCTTGCTCTCCTTTCCTTTCTCTTTCTACTTCTCTCATGGCTCTTCTATACTATCTTCACTCTCTCTTTCTTGTTGTCTTGGTTTTTTTCTCGACTACCTCCCCTCTCTCTATCTCATACATTCTCTTTTTCGTGTTTTCTCTCCGCAACTATAAACTATAAACATATGACATCATTCTTACTCATTTTTACCTTTTTTGGGATTTTCCCTCTAATTCTTAAAAGTTTCTTTTGCTGCTCTTTAAGACTTTCACATTTCCTCTCCATTTCCCAAAAACTCAACTTAAACGCTTCAGGTTTGATTGGTCGTGTAAGCACTTCTAACGGATGTTGATTACAGCTGGCGTTTGTATCAAACGCTTTACCTCTCAGTTATGTTCTCTTTCTCTCTCTCCGTCTCTCTTTTTCCATGTTCCCTCTGTATATCTCTATTTCCACCTCCACCCCCTCCCTCTGTTCCAATCCCTATATCTACGTCTCAATCTTACTCTCCATTTGGATCAGTCGTGATAGGCCTCCTATTTGGTTTTCATTATAGTTTTCCAAATTCTTAGCTGTCCAGAAATTACATTGAACTCACCTCCATTTCATAAACATTCCCTTTTCATTCTATCATTGACTCCTGAAATTCGGATAAACTCTTGACTGACTCACTTCCATTCACATAGCTATCAGCTATAACACCCCCACAGCTTAGCTTTAAGCTCTGAGATAGATGAAGCTGAATGATTTCCAAGCATTGTTTCTTGACCATTAGGTTCTCATCAAAAATCTCAAAACTGCACAACAACATTCTTGTAATTTACCAACTGTGGCTGAATATTTCCATGGAATCTCTCTCTCTCTTTCTCTCTGTCTCCCTCTCTCTCTCTCAAATTCAATTATCTCAACATGAATATCTCACGTGCTTAAAAACTCCTTCTCTCCCTCTATGTATAACTCTCTCTCTGACTCTTGGTCTATCTTATGATTCTGCTTTTTTCGTTGCTTACCTTCAGCCATTCACTATTCCATTTCTGTTTCTCATCCAACAGCACTGTCTCTGATTATTTTTGCATTTAAATATTCATTTCTTAACTTATTCTGAAAAAAAGAAAAATTTTGAATGAAAATTATATAAATATATTTATAAATTGACTGTACTTTGACAATAAAATTATTTTTATTATTATCAATTCGTATATGTGAAACTTCCTCTTAACTATGCCTAAATAGTTAATTTGAAGCTTTTTCATATGCTCCCTCTCTTCAAACCATTTTCAAAATGAGCTCTTGCTCTCTCTCTCTTTCTTCATCTCTCTATCTAGTTTACTCGTCATCCTTTGAGCAATTGGAAGAGAAAAGAATTTTTCTGATGAAAAATAGTTTTACTACTCCTTACTACTCTCTTTCACATATTTTCTTTCCAACCCTTGGTTCATTCATCGAAATTTGCATTGTGCTAGCTTTTCCACGTCAATGACGTGAAAACGCGATTTTCATTTCTGACCACGTGCAACCCACAGAGCGGTTGTTTCTATTTCCTTATCCTCAATCTCTCTAGCTCACTTAGTCTCATGCTCTATCCTTCTCTGTCTCTCTCTCTCTCTCTCTCTCTCTCTCTCTCTAACTCGCTTCTGTAATCTCAAAGCATTCAGTGTTGGCCGAGAAGTAATTCTATTTTTCAGAATTATTTTGATTCTTAAGGAAGGAGAAGTCAAAAATATCGTCATCTCGACTCATTAATTACATTACCTAACTTCACTGTATGGTAGCTTTGTCATCAATGACGTCACGAGGATATGTTAGTCATCAGATGATCAGATCATTATGTTGTCGAGCAAACAAAATAGATGATGTAGATGATACTGTAGTGATAAAAGAGAATTATGTGGATACGGTAAGATGATGTATGTACGTGATCAAATATTATTTTATGTTACAGATATTCATTTACTTCTCCAGTAACATACTTGGACGTTCATTGCTTGGTCGTTTCATGACGGCTTTAGAAGAAAAGAATTTAGCTTCACAATCAATTATGTTTACGACAATTAACTCTACAAAAATGAATGTACGCAATCTCACGTTTCAGATTTATCAATTTATAATTATTGATTTAAGTCTTCGCCATTATTTCGTAATTTAACCTTAAAAGGTAATAATGTAGGTGTTTTTACAATTTGGAAAGGCCAAGATGTCTATAAGAGAGCAGAAGAAGCAATTACTCGAATTGGAAACAAGCATGCTGTCAATCGTTGTAAGTCCTTTCTCATTCATACCAGCTTAGATAGAGATCATACACTTTTCTGTTTTAAGCTGATGTCCTTTTCACAACTTCGTCCGCACAAACGCGAAAGGAAGTCAGTCTGTGGATGACGTAATACAAACTGTTTCTTTCAATGTATCAAACAAAGTCTATTTTCAGTGATTACTTGAACGACTCTCGTGACGCCAAAAAGACAAATGGAAAAGCTGACGACAAGTCAGATGATAAGACAGATGATAAACCAGCAAACGATGAAGAGGCTCCACCCGTTGTTGTAGTGGATGCAGGCAGTACGCAGGAAGCTATAGCTCCATTAGCATTAACAGATTCTGAGATAATCGAAGAGACGAATGTGAACGAATCAGCTGTCACTGCAACTCCACCACCAATAGTACAGTCATCTGATGATGCCATTACAGCTGAAGTTGAAGCTGCTAAAACGCCAACACCACCCCCACCTGTGCCACAACAATAATTTTCGGAAAAATAGAGGAAAAAAAAAATTTTTTTTTTCCAATCTTTTTCGTTTCATTTTTTAAATCTCAATAATTCACTTTCGAAGCTCAAAAAAATGAACGAAATCCTTCTCCTCGAAACTTTCATCATTTGCTTTTGGCCGAATCTCATGTCGTATTTTTGCTTTTGATTTCTCATTGATATCCACAGCTCATTCACTCAATCTGTCCTATCTCAAAGACTTTCACTCTCTCTGAAATAAATTTTTCGTATTTTATTGAGAAAAAATCTTTTTCATTTCAATCAAAATGCATTTGTGTCCAATGATTTTCTCATATTTTTCAGCTTCTCGCTCACCCCATTGACTATTTAAAAACAAAATATTTTATAAAAAATGTATAAAAAAGAAGAAATATTATGATATTTGTGTTGTTCTAGGACTTCTTGTGTGCGGAGCTGAATGACAGTGAAGCCGTGTATTGGTTGATTAAAATATATGAAAGAGAATATCAAGAATCTCCGTAATAATGAGCTTCTCCGAGATTTCCAAATAAGCAATTCAGATTGGAAACCTTAGATTTGCATATTTCTGTACTTGAACACGTTTAAATTATATTTTATTAAAACAATTTGTATGGTTGAGAGTTATACTACGTCTTCTCTTGCAGTCCTTAAGTCCTCCTTCCATCATAACAAACAAGCTCAAAGCAGAAGCCGATACGTATGGGAATTTAAAGAAAAAATAAATTTATCAAAATGTATGGAAGTATGAAACAGCTCATTTACAGATCTCGAATTTTCACATCATACTTAGAAGCTTACAATAAAATATGGAAAAACATCAGATGCAACCGCTCAACACGTCATGAAAACACAAATGATTTCAAACCTCCGGCATTGGCGCGATTTTTTCAAATTCAAATTTTGGAAGCTGTGATGAAAGCTGAATTTTCATTTCAACTAAAAATTTTGAAAGCCAATTGTTTTTTATACTTTATTACATTATTTTCAATTTGTAACCTTGACGTTAGACGAACCCCAGCGGCTGGCGAAAATGTTAACGCGAGAAAATCGCAGGCGTCGTGCAGACAGTTGTGCATTCCCATATAAACGAGAATCCTTCTATACTATATTATTGTTTTGAGATAAGATATACTGAAAGGAAATCTCCTTTTACTTTGCCAGGCTAATAGTTGGGAAAAAAAATTTCTTATTCAATTAGGAAAGCTTTTTGTGCTACATTTGAGGAGAATTATTATAATTTCAAGTTGGGAAAACAGGCCGAAAGCATGTTGAGAATGCTAACGAATTGGTTCTCTTTCCAATGGTACCATTTAGTTGTTTGTACACAAGCATCCAACAACACCAATAACTACAGCGACATGCTGTTGTTAATTTGTCGCTTGCACTGGCTGGGTTTGGCGACGAGCGTCGAGAGAAAACCAAAAAATAGCATGAACGACATAGAGAGAGCAGAGTGCGACGCGACTGTCGCGCGTCGCGTACTGACGGCGGTCGTCAGTCGCTGACGACGATTGATTCGTTTTAGGCTTGAAAACTCCGTGCATTCGTATTAAATAAGTTTTAAACATTGCTCATTGTAATTAAAGATAGTAGCCGGTACACGGCTTCTGGTTCAACCATTCAGAAGACCATTTCTAGAGACAAGTTGTTGCTTCAGCGATACAGCGGTAACAGCTTTTCCTCATATAAGTACCTCTTAGTGTACGTACATTGAAGTCATATCGTTGTATCTCTTTTGGTAAATCATGTACAACCTTATTCATTTGTTGTTTCCTGATCCGCTTGATCTCCGAAAACCAGTAGAACTTCTCGAACTATCCGAGAATTCGGAGTTCAGCGACTCGGCTTTTCGACCTCGACCTTCTATCTTGCTCTGATCGAAAAGCCACCTCTGTAATACTCTGCTCGCTTACATGTTATATTTCCAGGGACTGTTCCAGGAGGATAACCTATCGGTGAGATGGCCCAATGGACAGATCCCTCACGAACATTCTTAATCCAAGAAATCCGAACTCGACCAGTAAGTCTCTCAGTTATGGAAATGATCAAGTGATTCGTTCTAGATTGTATGGGATCGAGATGTTTCAAATGATAGCACACACAAGGCTGCAAAACAGAAAGCTTTTTCTGAAGTAGCGAAAGCACTCAATGAAGCTTTTCCTTCAATTTCATCGAAATTCACAGGTGCATATGACGCATACGAAAACCAAATGTTTACTCTTCTTGTTTAGGAGAAGACGTTCGGTCACAGTGGAAGAACTTGAAAGACACGTTTGTGCGGAAGCTGCGGTATCTTCATGAGGGAAAGTAAGCCCATTAAGTGTTTCTTATAGTTTCTTATTCCATTTCTTCAGATATGCCTATGACTCTCAGAAAGAACCAACTTGGAAGTTCTATCGAATGCTTTCTTTTCTGGACGACAAAAAGAAAGAACGCCTTTCTCCAGAAAGTTCTCTATTTGATATCTCTTCATTGCACAGAGATCACAGGTTTTCGCTCTTTTTTTTCAGCCTTGCCTTCACTGTGTCTGTTTCAGAAGTTTCAGTATTGATTTACCTAAAGGGGAGCCATTTGAAAACAGTAACGAGAGTGCCTCGAGCCAGGAAGTTCTACAAATCCTTGCAGACGTACGAAAACACATAAATTCATCTCAGCAAATATTGTTCTTTTCAGCAATTGAAGAATGATAAGAATGAAAGTTCGTTGTGTTCTTTGAATCCTGGCTCACCGAACCAGAGTGGCGATTCTATCTCGGGAATTTCTTCTACTTGCCTCAAGACTGACAGTCCCAAAACACCAACAGGAGGAGAGAGTGTAGAAGAGGAGGAAGAGCCAAGAAGGAAGAAGGTATGACCTTTAACTTTCCTCGATACTCTTAACGAAATGTATGTCAGACTTGTCAAAGATGCGTTCGGAATACAGCGAGTGTAACTAACGACGAGTTCGACTTGTTTGGCTCATTAGTCGCTGCTCAGTTACGACGGTTTGTTCAATAACCAAGTTGACCTTCATCTTTGTCAATTTAGGTTGGCTGAAGAGAACTCTCGTTCGTGCTCGTTACGTCTTCAAAAAGCTTTGAACGATGTAATGTACGAGTCTCAAATGGATCTGCTAGGTAAACAGTAAAAGAACGAATCTCCTTATTCGGGAATCATGTCATTAAGCCTTCTCTTCCCACTTAGACTTATCCACCAAGTGGATCTCATGTATTTATTCTTCCAGAGTTTTACTTTCCAAGTACGAATTCTTTACTACCGATTTTGCCTGAATCGTTTAGTCAGAGATGTTGTGCATCTCAGTTTTTGAGTTTAGAACCGGAATTTAGTTTAAGAGATTTATTGAGAGTATACTATCCCACATAGTTGTAAATATTGGTCTGCTTGTGGTCATTTTTGTTAACGAGCTTTGTCTGAAGGATGATGATCGCCTGGAGTTTTCATTTTTCCTTTTATTCCATTATTCTACACTTACGTAGCCTTCTAATCATCGTTCACTGTATTTCTACGCTTCTCATCTTCAATACATGTATTACTTCAATAATGTTTTCTTTATCATCACTAGTCGTCTAGCACTCTTCTCAGCTTATCCTCCCATTACGGAAGTTGCTCTGCTTACTAAGTAAGCTTTTTTTTCATCACTTTGTCATAACACAAAATCAATAAAAACTTTTTTTTTCAATATTTGTTAAATTCTCCTATGATTCCAACGAAGAGTTTCGTAATCAGCACTCTCAGAGTAGTATCTACTACATCGGATGTGAACATTGGCAGTAAACAAGTAGTTTCATAACTCAACTTGATAAAAACCTTGTTTTTCCAATTACATGTGGCCGCTTGGTGTAGTGGTTATCACGTCTGCTTTACACGCAGAAGGTCGCCGGTTCGATCCCGGCAGTGGTCATCCTTTTAGGGTAGACAGATCCATGAAACCGAAAAAATCCAACCATATAAAGAAAAGTTTAATAATTCAGTTAAACAAAACTAAAATTAGGAGATTCGTTCACTGTAGCATGAAAGTTCGTACTACTGTTATGGTTAGGTTATTTCATTCATCAACAACTGCTCATTTTCTCAGAAACTGTTTAGAATGAATGTTAAGCTTAAGGAACACGGAATATGTGTCAGCACTGGAAATGCGCAAAGTGTCTGCAAGGTCACGCAAAACTACGACTTCGTTCAGCGATGTTGTAAAAACTTTTCCTAAAAGAAATTTATTCATAAATTGATTGACCAACTATGTTTTCAGATTTTGTAGTTGTTGAACCTTGTAAGGCTGAACACAGAATCT